CTGTGGCTTGTAGTATGGTACATATAAACATGCTTTTCTCTGTCACCCTTACAAACCTTTTAGAAGTGATCAATAGACCGTGCAAGATCCTAAGTACAGCTTGAAACTACTTGACTGGTTTTAGGAAAACAGGAGAGCTTGCCTTTCAAATTTTCAGTGATGAAGAATACACAACTTTGATACTTCCATGGCTTTCCACACTGAAAAGTATGGCTTTTATTTCTAATCTTAATTCGTCTAACTCCAACTTTCACCTTGATATGTCATTGTCCACTAGACAGAATAGCCTTCTAGAATCAATATCCTGCTTCCGGGAGGTAGCTGCGACCTCTCTGATTTTCTCCTTGACAAGCTAAATGGCTCGTGATTTTTAAGCTTTTCCCTGAATGGCATGTTTTCAACCCCTAGCCAATCCTGCGGTTTTCCCCTCAGTGTTTTTCACTTTATCATGGTCCTTTTTTAGACTACATCCACAGGAACTGGACGCAGCAATCTAATAATGACAGAAGAAAGCACAATGCCTCTACTTTAATTGATATAGAATCGTAGACGTATAGAATAGTTTGGGTTGGATGGGACCTTTAAAGGTCATCTAGTCCAACCCTGCCGCAGTGAGCAGGGAAATTTTCAAGTAAATCAGGCTGCTCAGAGCCTCATGCAACCTGACCTTGAATATTTCCAGGGATGGCGCATCTACCACCTCTCTGGGCCAGAAACCTCTGCCAGTGTTTCACTACCCTCAGCATAAAAAAAATTACTCTTTGTACCTAGCCTAAATCTTCCCTCTTTTAATTTAAAACCATTAACCCTTGTCCTATCACAAGAGACTGCTAATAACTTTGTCCTTGTCTTTCTTATATTACCCTCTTTAAATAAACATCCAAGGATCCCAGTGATCATGCACAAAGATCTTGGGGTTTGCTACTTAATCACCATATTTCCAATGTTCTAAGGGATGGACACACAGGACATCTGCTCCATGGGCAAACTGCATGACACTAAAGCATCTCCCAGCCAACAAATGATAACTGAGAGGGGTACAGCCCATTGACTTCCTTGATAATTCACCCCTATAATTTTTTCTGCATCGATGCTTTCTAGAATTAACTACTTTATCCACTAACTCTAAATGTATTTGTTGTGTGTGCTTTCTCCATAATCAGTGGAGAGAAACTGATCTTCCAGAAAACAATTTATCCCATCCCAGCAGAACTGTCTAGAACCACTGGGCTAGAGTGCCCTCTGATGGGTATCCAGTTGTCTCCATGAACAATAAGCACCTATGAGACTGGTTTACACCAGGCACTTTCAGAAGACTGAAATGAAGTGAGATGGATGCCACAGGAACTGGGTAGTGTTGCCATTGGGTACTTTAAAGTATAAGCTATGCCACGGCTCAGCTTCACAGTTCTACCCAGCATTTACATGTCTATCTCCATATAACACCATCACTATAAATCAGCCTATTATTCCCCTAAGGTTTTTGTCATCTGCAAATGTCATGAGTAATGACTGCATTTTTCCCAGGTCACTGTTGGAAATGCAAATCAATGCAGAAGCAAAAAATTAGCCTAAGTGGGTCTCTCACGCAAAGAATCCATTTAATAATGTTTCCTTTTTTAGTAAACATCTTAAAACCTGTCATTTAACAAGTTTTGAAAACATTTAGTATGCATGACTTTCATTTCATATGATTTAAATCGCGTGGTACCAAGTCAAATGCCTTATCAAAGCTGTAATTTGGTGCTATTCTGTTTGTCAACCAGATTTCCAAGTTGGCATGATAAGATTTTCTAAGTTGATTAGCATTAATTATATTATTTTCCTTTTAATTTTTACTAATTGAGTCTCACATCAACTGTTACATTGTTGTGTCAGGATCTTAGTCAGCTGACGGATTTGCAATTACGTAGATCATCACACTTATACGTCAGTATGTCCTTTTATGTAGTAACCATGATTTGCTGTAGGTCTTCATACAGCAATCACATGGTGCTTTAAATTATCCCAAAGCCTTAGAATACAGATTAATCAATGTACTAGAATGTTCTCCAGAAAGTGAAGATCTAGTGATCTGCTCATAAAACTGACCATAATCCAAACTTCTCACACTTTGACATGGGGTTCTACAACACCTTACTATAAAGATACTATTTTGTTTTGTGGTGGGTTTACTGCTTTTTAAAATGAATTCAGGAGCTGTAGCAACAGTCATTAGAATGCAGGCTTTTTTACAAAGGTCTGCCAATGCATGTCAGTCTTGCTGCTCTATCTCAAAATCTTTCTGTACACTCGACATCAGTGGAAAAATCTGGGATTTTTTGATACTGGGACTAAAAGAAATATCTGATAATTGATAGAGCTAGGCCTCTATTTGGAACCCCACAGGAATATCCCCTGGATGTTTTCTGACCTGAGAAAAAGACTCCTCCCTTCTGCTACAAAAATATTTTTGGCTTCAGAAGAAAGATGGCGGCAGCATCCCATGCATTGCACAGGGAGAAACAGAAACGTACCATGAGTGCATGATAGGCGTTATACACAGTTCCTCTTGATACGTACCAAAGCCATTGGTGGTGCAATCCACTTGCCTGTTTTCATCACTGTCTAATTTATGAGGCCCCAGGCTGTTTTTCTTGAGAATTCTCTAAGCAACAAGTACCTCTGCTGCAGAAACAGGAATTTCATCTTACGCGCCACAGCAGCATGTATTTTTTTGTAAAGAAAAAAGAAGAAAAAAACGTACTGAGAAAACCTCAGTTCTGTGCCCTGGTCAGCTCGAGGAAGTTTAAACTTAACAGTCTTTATCAAGCCAGGGAGCACATCGGCCAAACAGCTGGGGAGTGTTTTAGGCGAAAGCCTTGTGTCAAAGCTGGGCCTGTGCAGCCAGGGAGGCTCGGGGGCAGAAAGACACCCCATGACTCCAGCTCCAGACCCAGCTCTTGGGAAGATGTGTGGAGTTTATATGAGAAAATCCATCCAGGTAAACTTGGGTACAGAAAGAGGACCAGCCTTGGAAACAGTGTCCTTTCTGGCATGAATTATGTAACTGCTCAGATACTGTCAAAACACCTTTTCCCAGCCTTCTGGGTGGAAGATAATCTGTCCTTCTTTCGCTTCCTCCCCCACTGCCTTAAAACGGCCACTGCCCACCCCCAAGGGAAAACAATTACGGGTTTTGTTCCCTGAGTCTGAGAGGGCCTGAGGGCACTGAGAAAGGAAAGAGTTCACCAAGGGGTTGTGGTACAGGTCAGTACCTCCTTTTATCTTAAAAGGTCCTGCACTGAGAAGAGAACTAGGTAGCAGAGAAGAGAGCTAGGTAACCAGGAACCTATTGATGCTTTCTGTCAGTTCCTTGTAATGTGATTGGAAAGAAGCAGGCACATTGACTGGATGCTCAGAGGACATCTTCAGAGCTTCCCCTATCTCCACTTGCTGTATCTCCTCTATTTGACTTTCTCCTTCTCTTAGGATGATTGGATTGGCCACCCTCCTTCTGTTTGCTCAGTTTCTCCCCCAAAAACGGCACCTAAAATGCAGGCACATCTGCTCTCAAATGGAGCACTGTTGGAACCTTTCCATTATCTACCATGTGGGAGCAGGATTAGGTTCGCTGTCAGTTTTGGGGAACAGGAGAGTGATAAAGAGCCATGAATTATGCATGACAGAATTGCACCCTACTAGTTCCTTAAGCCATACAAGATGTTCCAGTCCCATTGTCATCCCAACGTGCTCTTGGAGATGTTTCATACAGCCAGAGGCAGTCCTCTGAGTGTAGCAGGACTCATCCCATATTGCTGATACGGCACCGTATTGACATTCTTCTTCTACTACTGGGGTGGTGTTTCATGTTGTTAAATGTTACAGCATGTTACAATTCGTTAGGCTGGCTAAGACTATATGGAATTTCTTAAGAAATAAACTGAGTATGTAATGATTTATTAGACAACTGTTGAAAACCTGATCGTTTTTTTCTGTGTCTTCACCTGATTATTTTCATTGCAGCTAATGGAAGGAAAAAAAGAGTATTAAAGCAGCAATCTGATCACAATCCCCACATACCTTACACCCAAACTCTTGCAGGCCGTAATATAATCTTTTGATACCTGACCCAATTCAATGAGGGTCTAAATTATTAGGAATTAACTTTTTATGAAAAGCTTTGGACAGTGCTTGGTACCACGACAGAAGAGCCTGGACATTTCTCCAAGGGGCCACTGCGGCTTTTCTTTAGCCGGTGTGTTTTCACCGGTCATTCCACCGAGTCTCCTCACCCACCCCGGTGCCACCCGGTGACTTTGAGCCCTTCCAGCCCAAGGGATCACCTCGATGTGGCCACCGAGGGCCACGGGTGGGTGACGGGACGCTTGGCTGCGTGGCCTCTTTGCTGGCGCGGAGCCCCCCCGGGGCAGACGGCTCCTGCCGTGCCCACCAACCGGGGGTGCCGGCGGGGCAGGTTCACGCCGCACCGGGGCCGCCCCCCATCCCCTCGCACCGGCTCACGGAAAACTCACGGAGGGACGGGGCAGCGCTCCCGCCCGCCTCCCTCCCCCCTGCCGCCGGGCCGCCCCCTTTCCCCGGGCCGGCGGCGGCTCCTGCCGAGCGGAGCGGCTCCGAGCGGCGGCGGCGGGAGGTGGAGGCGGCGGGAGGTGGCGGCGGCGGTGGCCCCCCCCGTTGCCTGCGAGGTGGGGGCTCGGCGC